ATTAAAACATAAGTTCCACTGGAAACAAAGACAACAAACAGTTGTAATGAACATGAAAATCTGCGCCCGTCTCACCTTGAGGTTTTGATTTGTTCATCAGTTTGGGCATTGTCCGTCTTAGTTGGGTTGGTCTTGAAGATAAGCTGAGGACACAATATATTCTTTAAAAACAAGTAATGTCAGCTGACATATACAAATATTTAGTCAAAACAAAAACATTTAGACGCACCAACTTATTTCAGTGAAAGGCAAACATAATGACATGATAAGATAATCTAATGCTAAGGAAACAACAGCAAACAGACAATGAAGAAGTAGGATCTACCAGTGATGGATTCCCACCAACTACTCATTGTTATTTTCAAAGCAATATACAGATGGTGGCATGAAATAAAAACATTCCCCCCCAAAAAAATAATTCAAAACTCGGCCCAAACTTCCTCTACCAACCTGCAGCACAACCAGGCAACAAATGACTGCCTGCTCGTCCTGGTCGGCGATAGCCCTGGCCAACACGTCCGTCACTCGACTCAGATGGTAGATATCCAGCGGCTGTTGTTGCTGCTGCTGTTGCAGATGTTGCTGCTGCTGCTGCTGCTGGCGCTGCTGTGAGTCCCCTCCGACCGCCCCACCACTACCACCACCAGCCGCGCCCGATTGGCTCTGCGAGGCTGCCAGTCTCTGAGTGGACTCACAGGTCATCTGGTGCAGACACATGCTGCTCACGTTGTGGAGGAGGGTGCTGGTCACAACAGACACAGGGACAAGTTTGCTGCCTGGACACACACACAGAATAAAGACAATAAAAAAAACAATTTTTAAATAAAAATAATAATAATAATAATAATAATAATAATAAAAATAACAATAATGATAAAGGCAATAACAATAACAACAATAATAATAATAATAATAATAATGATGATAATAGTAATAATAATAATAGTAAAAATGATAACAGTAATAAAATAAAAATCATCATAATAATAATACTATTAAAGGGAATTTATATAGTACTAATCCCTAGAAGGCTCTAGGTGCTGTACAATGAATTTCCTGCCTGTATATATAGACACATGGGGATGGGGGCACGGGCTTCATTCTCATTATTATTCGCAAATCCTGTTTTGAAAGTTAACATTTTTTCTTCAGCAAATGCAAGTCCGTGAGGAGCTTTACTATAAGACAGAGAATACTTATTTTCTGACATAAAAACGGACTTTTGAAATCAGCCCTTGATAATGAATGAAACAAAAATTTTTACCTACTGGCTCGGAGCTATGCAATGGTAACAGTGGTAAAGACAATAAAGTTTTCAAGATTCGATAACATAAGGCAAGATTGCTACATTCGACAAAGCATAACTGTAACATTATTTCTCCACAACTGACCATCAAGGCTGACGGGCAGGCTGGTGTCCGAGATGCCCAGTCGGGACTGGACGTGGTGGGGTGGGAGGTTGCCGGGGTTCTGGAACTGGTCAACATACTCGCCGCTGGACATCCACAGCAGGTTGTTGCTGATGTCGAAGCATGCACCTGGGGGGAAATAAAAGAAAAGTTTGAGTGATAGTTTTGTTCGAGAAAAGAGAAGCACATTGACAGAATAATGGTCATTTAGTGGTAAAGTAAAACAAACTATCAAAAACAACAGAGGGAAAGTAAAGAGGTAGGACCTACCAGCGGCACCCTCCAATCACTAGAAAAATAAAGAAGAAAAGAAGAAACTTTTAACAGCAAAGGGGAAAAACTTGTATTAAAAAGTCAAAAACAAAGTAAAATAGTTTTAAAAAAACAAGGTAAAAGAAGTTAGAAAAGAGGAAAAAGTCTAAAATGTTGCAAACTTCGAAGCACACAGCTGGGTACGGATGAGGGGGGAGGGGGGATGTACTAAAAGTCAAAACAAAGAACAGTCTATCACACACATAGTGAAATCAGCCGGACACAGAAATCTTTTTGGTATGTACTACTTTTAAATACAAAGAACAAATACAAATTAGAGGATTGCTGGGATCGGATGAAGTATGGAGTGGGCTTGCCCATGAGGACAGTAGAGTAGCCATGAAGACCATCCCGGGGCACCCTGAAATGTCCGGCTATAGGGGCTCTGGTGAAGCTCTGACGGGTCAAGCAAGCAAGCAGTAGATATTGAAATGCTTCTATTTTAGTGTTTACTGCTTCTGCAAAACAAATAGGTCATATTGGCACTGAAGATTAGAGGAAAAGTTTCTACAGTCAATAGAGAAGATTAAACAACCAGACCACCAGCGACACCATGGTGACCCACCTATGCCCGTCAGCGGGGTCCCGCGGCCCACAGAGCTGGAGGGGGCTTCCATCAGGTCCATGCGGGCGCTGAAGTAGCCCGTTTTCACGTTGAAACACATGTTGCTGGCTAGAGCTGGGGAACACAAGGGAACACAATGGTCAATCTTCAGGACAGATGACCACTGGTCAAACAAAGACATCAGATTAGATCAGACGACCGGGTGGGTAATGGCACAGGCCAGTGTACAGTCTCAAATGACCCCGCTTTGTTTCATCAAATTTCACTCGTAAGTCCAGTACAGCCTATCCCATTTCTGCTGATTCTGGGTGCAAAGAAAAGATCTCAGTTTATAGCCTTGTGATTGGTCGTTTTTATTTTCTTTACTTTTTACTTTTACTGTTGCCTTATACCACGAGGAGACGAGGGGAGATGCAATTGTTGGGCGAAGGCCAGAGGTGTTGATGTTTGGCCCTTCACATTGTTCCTTTGGAGGGACTTGTGATTGGTTATTTTCATCACACCTATCAACTCATGACCTAGAAAATCAAATATTCAATTCTGTAGAATTTGATCAAGTCGTGCCAAAATGTTAGCATTAACCCTTCCATGAGGGAAAACCCACGTCACTCAACTGTATCAAACTATATCAAATAGAGATTTCATGACATTTTCTGCAATGTGCACTGAGTATTAAATTTCCAGTGTGATATGTACGAGCAAAGAGAAGTACATTGTCTCAAGCATGATGGTGATTTAGTGCAGGCATAAAGTAAAACAAACCACATGCTATCACTTACTAAGGGTATTGAGTTAGTTAATTCTGAGTAAAGAGAAGTACATCAACGAAATAATTACCATTTAGTACAACACAGAGGGAGAGAAAGTTTTCACCCAGTTCAGAAAGATTACCGCTACATTTCAAAAGGAACAGACACAAGAAAACACACACAAGAGAATACACACACACACACACACATACATACACCCACACCACCCATCCAATTAAACACACGTACACACACCCATCAACCCAAAAACAACACACACCCCCCCATTCTCAACTCACATCTGAGGTTAGGCATAGGTCCTCCACCACCAAAGAGTGACCGACTGACCCCTCCCGGAGCAGTGCCAGGGGCTGTGGTCAGCATGACTAAGTGGTTTCCGTCACAATACATCGGGGTTCGAACCAGGGTCTTGAGAGGCAGACCACAGCTGGTGCTGCCAGCACTGCTAGGGGCTGAGGACCCAACAAAACAATATATATAGATAAATTCATATACGTTGAACAAGCAGAGAAGAGCATACAGCCTACCTTCCATGTATTATAAATATGATCATATTCATAATTGTTATCATTTTCATTTTAATATTGTTATTATGATTATTATTGTATCATCATTATTATCATAAATGTTGTTTTTACCATTATTGTTATTACATTATTATTTGTAGTAATAACCAGAGTGCATTGCATATGTACTTATTGTGATAATATCAATATTTCACCATGACATTATCTATGGAATCTGTATTTGTCTTATAATCAGAATAAGGTGATATCTGGTAAATCAGTAATGATGGCTTTGATAAATACTCTTTATGTCTCTGTATGTTTTTAAATTGACATAGGTGGGCAAATGAAAGTGTCAAAGTACTTATATATATTTGTATATCACCATTCTTACTATACATATTGCAAGTGCTTTTCCTATCAAAAAGAATGATCTAATCCTTTTGCAATAGTGTCAAATCAGTACAACAAGAATACTTCCATGAACAATCTGACGTTAATACTCCATGAAATGGAGTAAATAATAGTTTTTAAAATCATAACAAGAAAGGGAAAAATGGTATCAAATAACCAACATTAATAAATCATGTTAAAATATTGCGGGCACCCAGAAATTTTCAAGCCAGCCTCAAGGTACATAACTTTCTCCCGTCAGTGTTCTCACTGTTCTTCAAATACAGCGTTATTTACATCAGCAGTCTGAAGGATATATACGGCTGTCAGTGTCACAAGTAATTCTTCAAGAACAACATGAGTAATTCTTCAAGAACAGAATGTTTATAAAGAGAAGTCCATCTACTAGTTTGTTTGTTTGTGTAAAGAGAAGCAATTCGACACAAAAATGGTCATTTAGTGCTGGAAAATGGTAATACATCCCGACAAACGGAAACAACAGAGAGAAAGTACAAAAGTAGGACCTACCAGTGGTGCCCTCCAACAAATGAATCTACACAACAATGGTTGTATAGTGCAGGGGGAAAAGTTAGACAGACAGAAACAAAGGGTGACCAGTAAAGAAGTAGGACCTACCAGGGGTGCCTTCCAACCAACCACAGACACTTCACTACTGTACAGGAGTAATAAAGCGATCTTAAACTAGTCATTCTCAGCTGAAGACGGTAAAACGACAACACTGAAACTGACAACACTACGAGTCTTTGACTGGCTTCCATTTGAATTCTTGTCGGGATACTTTGGTCTTCTCTTCTGAAATACAGAGCCTACCAAACTTTCTTTGCCTCTCATTTCAAAACGTCAATAATTTTTTTCCTCATGAATTATTACCAACGCAGAGACTAGTACAAATCAACAGGAATAAACGGAATTTGTTATAGAAAGTTGCAATTCTGATTGTCAAAGAATAACTTTGATCAGAAAAGACTAGTGTGAGTACGAATAAGTTCTGAAACTGAAGCACTCCTCCTGCTGTAAATGCCAGTGTCTTTTACTGTCTCAACAAAGATACGGGGCAAAAGTCAACATTTTTATTGGCATGTGAACAGGAAATGAATTCTCACCTGCAACTTACAAGTTTGCATATTTCCTAACCATAAAATTGCATTTGTAAGTAGTTATTTCGGTTTCTTATTATTGGTACGATAAAAATAGGTTACTTCATTCCTTTCCTCCACAGAGAACAGTCTTATTTCAAGGATTCAATATTCAGTTACTGAGACATTTCCACTTTTGCTCAAGTCATAAAGTTAACCTAGACAAGCACCATTTTTTCAAGTTGTCTCAAGACAATAAAAAGTGACTTGAACAATTGAGTTATGACCATGACAGAATGTCAAAACAACACTGTAAAATAAATCAGTGTAACGCAAGCAGGAGAGGTGCTAAGAGGAAAACTGGTTAAACTGATGCTTCGGAAAAAAAGTTTCGTATATCCTGCAGACTTTCAAAGAGTTAACAAGGAGAAACTATCTCAGGCGATGCTTTGGGCAAGCTGCCGAGGTGAGGAATTCCAACAAACCGTCATCCTTCCGAGAGATGAAAGTCTCGCCTCCAGTCAGAGCCATGAGGGTGGCTGCGCTGTTGGAGCCCCTCAGGGGGCGCAGTCGGTTCAGGATAGCCTCATTCATGTTCTTGTGGACCACTTCCTCCTTCTTCTGCAGGCTGACACTCATGCGCAGCGGTCGCACTTCTAGATCCTTCTGTCAACACACACACAGAAAAGCATATACAATAAAACCTCAGTGTCTTCTTCTGACAACACCACACACAGAGAAAGAAAACATATAAACGGTCTCGCAAGCTCATTGTGAAATTGGCAGGATGCAGAAATATTTTCATTGTGTGTGAATTTTTTTGTGTACATTTTTTCAATTTAATACAAAGAAAATATACAGATAAAAGCACATGTATATATCGAGTGTCAATAATACACGCTAAATTTCAAGTGTGGTAAAAAAAATTACTGTACTTTTGATTTAACGAACAAAGAGCAGAACTAATTTAAAGTAGAACAGCTCTCCAGGGATGCCACTGGGCTTTTGTAAAAATAACTGAAAATTTACTAAGCTGCATTTGCAAACAAGAAGACAGTTAATAAAAATAGCTACTGTGGGGTTAAACAAAACAAATGCTTAGAATAACAACTGTTCTTTTTACTGCTTTGTTTTAAAAAAATTATGGAAATAAAGGGGGCGGGGGATTCCTGGCACTCATATACAACTGCAATCCAAAAAAAAAAAAAGAAGAAAAAAAAAGAAAGGAAAGAAAACGAGATTCAAATTGAAGGTTCAGCCTTCAGTTAAAGATAAACAAACAAAAAATCAGTATTCGTTATATCAAGTCTTTTCAGTCGCCATCATACCTCTATGGTGAAAGCATTGACATTGACGCTGACACCTTTGGCGTTCTTGTCCTGAAGCGCAGCCGGACACCACAACCAGTAGAGATAGACACCATCGCTGCAGAAACCCACGGTCGTGCACAGACCGGGCTGGAGGAAAACCTTGGGTTTGGGGATCACCTTTATAGGCTGTGCGGACACACAAAGATTTGTTTGTTGGAAAAAAATGTTTGAACATTATATTTCTTAAATTGTAGGAGTTTAAAATGGACCCATCTGAGGAGGGGCAAAGAGTTATGAATAGACTGAAGACCCACAGTTCTGGAATCAAGTAGTAAATAGTGCTTCCAATAGCAAAACCCCAAAATGGAGGAAAAACTGGCGCAGAGTATGGGGGCCGCAGAAGGCCCCCAGTGGGTCCAGGGTTTTTCTTACAGGAAGAAAATTTGCAATTGAAGAGCTAAAATTTGGCCTTTCTGAGCCTAAAATTTAAAAAAGAATGAGATTCACACACAAAGTAAAGCCACTATTTAACTTTAACCAGGGCTAAATAGGTAAAAGGAAAAGTAGCCTATACTTTGTAAGTAGAAGCTCCTCCTGGGGACTACACAAGAATGTGCATGCTTCATCACTACATAAAAACTACTGAGCAACAAATGATGATAGGCCTAATGGTAAAAACTTGTTGGTCAGTCGGGAGGAAGAAGGAAAAAAAAAACCTTCCAGGACCGGGATTTAATCCCACTCATAAAATAATATTGTACGACTTCAAACGCATTTGGCCATCAGAACTTCCAACGGTGAAAGGTAGTTTAAGCTTGTCTTTACAGTCACAGCAAAGGGTCACGAGGGGAAATGCAACATAGCCTAGATCTAGATTTTTACAACGGAGAAAGTGAAAAAGTCGGAAACATGAGGAAGGAACCATCAATGAGGCTGCGGGCATCAGATCGGCAGATGAAGTCTGGACGAAACTAAAAAAATGGCGGAAAATAGGAAGCATTAAGAAAAGCAAGGTATTTTATGCCCCAATCCTTACAACTCGTACCATTTAGGAGGAGGGCTGCTTTCATCCTGCTTGTCAGCTTCAACCCCGGTTGAGGATACATTATCACAGCACATTAACGGAGATACTCAATGAAAAAAAAAATAATCCCCGAACCGGAATCAATCTGATGTCTTTGGTGTGCGATGGTTAAGTAAGTAACCACTACACTACAGATGCCGGTAGAAAGGAGTAAGATAGAAAAGAAAAAAAAACCCCTAGTTGCATGACCTTTGGTTGATCAAGGCCTATTTTCTCTTCAGTTAGTTCACATGGGCCCTACACATGAACATGTAACAACATGCGGTGTGTTTCGAGACAAAACTGGTATTGAACTTTCTCATTTCTCTTGTCTAGCACAGAGCTCAGTGAAGTATGCTGATCTCTTCTTTCGTCTGCTCTGTGTGACCATTTGTCAGAGTAAGAATGCTGATAATGTCAAAGAGAGATCACAATTCAAACAGCTAGCAGCTCATATTGCAGTTTCTGAAAGAAGTGAAAAAAAAAGAAAAATGAAATTTGACGCATGTATGGCATTCCCAACTCTACGCTGTCGACAAACATCACTATTTGAAAACCCTCTCTAAACCAAAAATAGTCCTGCAGGTTTCAATTAACTCACTTGCGACTGGGCCCTTTCACCAGTCACAAGCGTTGAAGACTGGCGTTTTGGGGGGTATTTCAATAAATCACCACAACTCTCAGAATTACCCTATTGTAATCATTTTTTGACACAGTAAAGTAACATTCAAGCTTAATCTAATACAAAAAAACTAAAGTTGTCTAAGTCTAATACTTTAATTTGTATGATTTTTTAAAAATTGGCATGAATTTGATTTTCGAAAAATTTCCAGAGACGTGACAAGTAGAATGAAATTCACTGCAACAACAAAAATAAAAGTTCAAAGTGTTCTGGTTTGATTTGTATACATGTGCAAGTGTTTGGTGAAAATATAAAAGCTGGTCTGTGCATTGATTCAGACCCATACACTGAATTACATGAGACAGATGTACGGCACGACGTTGTGATTTCGTTGCGCGAAAAACAACACCGGTACTAGTGCTAGATCTAGCCCTAGAACTACGACTCAGGCCGTGTTCGGGTACATATCCAGGATCCTAACTATTAGACACATCATATTCTGAGACACTAGAACTAGTAAAACGCACAGAAGTATAGAAAACGGCGAAATTATGTGATTCTTGTTCATGCGACTTCTTCGACCGTTACTACGACGCGACTGTCGGATTACTATGAGCTGTATAGAAAAAAACAAAGCGCGAGTTCCGGTCTGTTCAACCCCAGTAGGGGTCACTGTCCTTCACCTTCAATAACTTAAAAACTACCGGCCCCAGAGATACGAAACGAAGTCTAAGTAGCTCAGGCTTGGCCAAACAAGGGTACGAGGCGGGTCTCGCGATCCGTGCGTGATTTGTAGAGCTAAAAAAAAATTCCAAAGTTGGTCACGCAGGGCTTGTGAGACCCGTCGCGAGCGTCATGGCGGGGGTCACGCAACTGTTGTGTGACCCGTCTGAAGTGAGTTAAAGCAGACTCTAATGAACTTATTTCATATGGTTAAAAGCAGAGAAGCAGCTTATTTCGTCAGCATGCTTCACAAATTTTCTGACCTACCTCTAGAGAGTTCTTGTCTATCAGCTGTACAAAGTTGGCAGTCTCCGCTGTCAGGTCGTACTTCTGGGGTCGGAACAGCAGCATACCCAGTCCACCGTAGGCCAGGCGCCCAGGCCCCACGTCTGTTGTCTTGTTGTACACGTAGCCCCTGAGACACAGGATATTGGAACAAATAAGTTTTACACTATTAACACCATTTAGGGGGCAGGCTGCTATGACTTTAGTTTCAGTGCCAGTTTTACAGCAATTGCAACACAAATAGTTCATATAAGTGTCAAAGATTAAAGGTGTTACTGGAGAGTAGCATACCAAAAAAGAGATGAGATAAGGACGATAGACGTTTAAAAATTAAGAGGGAGCAAACCACACCAGGGCACACGGCAACCACCCACATACTATGACTCAACCAGCCAGGGCCAACCTAAGCTGCATGGCATGAATACCATAAAAAGATAGAGGCCTTGGATAAAACATTGTCTACCCCAGACTTTGGCTAAATCCTCTGCACAAAAGGCATGCAACGTTCTCGTAACACAAAAGACACCACTTGATTTACTGCAGAAGTCTGCAAAGCAAGAAAAGAGCACATCTGAACACATGCACTACTCTCACTGATGTTGTTTCTCCCATACACTGATACTTACGGTTCTCCCAACTGAGAGTTTAACATTATAGAGTAAAGAGTAAAAAGAAAAGCGTACTGATATGGAGAAAGAGTTATAAAAAAGAAGAATGTCCATATAGAGAAAACATAAAAAGTAAAGACAGGCATATCGACTTGGAGTTGGAGTTGTAAGAGTAAAAGAGTGGAGAGATGCATATGCATTGATTTGAAAAAAGAGTAAAGAGAAATATATAGCCTTGATAAAAAGGTAAAGAGAAAAAAAAAGTTTAGATATCAACTTGGAAAAAGAATAAAAAGTGAAGAGAAACATATTGACCTGGAGAAAGAGTAGAGTTTAAATAGATCCATATATTGACTTTACAACCCTTTAGCACCAGGAAAAAGTAAAACAAATAAACAACAGAGGGAAGAAAAAAAGTTGGGACCTGCCCCCGACCCTTCCAGGCACCTATAGGGAAGAACATAGGAGGTACTGTTGTGTATACAAAACAAATCCCATACAAATTATAATTACAAATGAGTTTGAGTTTGAAATGTTTTACGGTGCTATCAACACAATTCGGTTACTTTTCATACAAATTAAATGTCTGTGACAAGACTTTCAGATTCAAATGAACAGGAGTTACCTGAGAGTGCCTCGAAGTCCAGTGCCAACTTTGGCGATACCTTTGCCAAAACTGTTGGTGGTGTAGAGGAAAGAGCCATCCGTAGTGACGCTCCTGCCCAGTTCTTGGTCTAAACAAATAGATAAAGGGGTTAAGAGGGGAGGATAGTAAAAATCATCACATGAGCCGTGAGGTAACACTAAAGTCATAACACGGACATTTCAAACCATTTGATTTAAGTAACAAAAACACAGCCATGTCTCAGTAAACAGAGGTGGTTCCCTGCTCTGTGTGTGTAAGGGGGTGGAATTTGGTGGTGGCATTATGATTATTTCTATCCAGCTGACAGCACAGATTCAATTCTCATCAGAAAAATCCAAGAAATTAATTCTGGCTGATATCATAATCTTGCAGAAATACAGACTGAAAATAATCAAAGAAAATGACAAAACATGACAAAAACCATGACAATACCTGCTGAATGCATATTTCCGTGGACCAGAAATTATTGTTGCCCACAAACATGCTAAAAATAAATATATAATATAATTGTGTAACGACACTATGAAATCAGGAGCTCGTCATTTTTTGCGTGGGTGGAGATAAATAGGCCGAAATTTTATTCATCTTTTTCGCTTTCAATGAAAAAAATACACATCTATCTCGAATAGCAGTCAAGATACCTGCGATTGAAGAAGGTGAGGTAGCCTGGTTTCAGTGGTAAATTAGCGAGAAAATGGCGCCAAGGTTTGGTAACTCCAAAAAGAGTTCTTGAAAACAAAAAAAAAGAAATATTTTGTGCCTTTACTTTACTCAACATTTTTCATTAAAATTCACATGGAAATGTATGTTTTTGTATCAGGACACAAAAGAGGTTGAGCCAAAAACACAAAAATTTCGATAAAAATTGCATAACTGGCGAAAAAATTTCTGTTTCTCCGCATTCTTTACTTTGACAAGCGCTTGATTTCACCACAATGCTTCACAATTAATACTTCACCTTTCTCTTTATCCTTCTCATTACTTTCTTTGGACTCAGAGGCAGCAGCTTCTGCACTGCTCGGCCCCAAGAGATCATCCAAGCCCCAGCTAAGAATGTATCTGGACCCAAGAAAGGAGGAGATGAGCCCTTGTGAGCCCTCACACTCCAGGAGAGAGGACAGAACATCAGCGACTGGGAGAGGAGGGAAGTCCGCCAGCTGCTGCAGGAGGTGCACTGCATGAATGAACGTCTTCACGTGACCTCTGGAAACAAATAAAGGACCCCCTATTTAGAAAATAACTAACAAAATGAATATCATTGAGATGAATTTTTTTTAAAAAGAGGATAGGCTATCTGTTTTATTTTACATCTTATGGGAGATTTGTGTATGTGTGTGTGTGTGTGTGGGGGGGGGGGGGTACATTGGAATGACAATATAGCCTATTTATCAAGAAATGGAGATTTCGAAAACTGTATCAACAGAGGTAAGAAACCAAGATTGAACTTAGAAAGAAAAATGTTGTTTTGTCAGGGAGACTTCTGTAACGAGCGACCACTCCAACAAAATAATAATAATAAATGACATTTATATAACGCTCAACCCCGAATAAAATACACAGGCTCTGAGCACTTTACAATACAGTACAACATACAACAGTAACATGAAACATTGTGTTCTGACTAAAGAAAATTATTCCAAATATTCATCTTATTAATTTAAAAACAGAAAAGACTTCAGCTGACATTTGAATGAATCAAAAGATTTGATTTCTCTCAACGTACTTGGTAAAGCATTCCAGATCTTGGGGCCTTGGTATTCAAATGCCCTTTCACCCAAACACAATATAAAGAAGAGACTTAACCCTATAACCGTAACCCTACCCCTCTATTCTACTCTGTCTCATGTGATGATAGCAGTCGCCAGGGGCAGTTTGTTAACTGGGCAAGACCGGCGGTGCCGGTCAAATTTTTGTCAGCTGGACTGTTGATAAGAGATTTATTGCTGATGAGGATTTTCATTCAGTTTTAAGTAAATCCAAGCAAACATGTATCAACATTCAAAAGCGCCTAGCCGATTTGAAGGCGCTAAAATTGAGAAATGGGGTTCATTGCTGTTTTGTCGCGACACAGCCTCATTCCTTCACGTTTGTTATCGCGCCGGCTCTTAACTTTAAATCGTCTCCCGTCAAGCCGTCACCTCATGGGAACTTCGTACTACGTACGAGGCCAGACCAAACACGGCGGGCGTAGGCCTAGCGATGACGTCAGTCCCCTGGACAAATCCATCGACTGCCCTCAGATGGAATAGAGGATCCCTTGATTGCCAAATTGGCCTCTGCGTTGCTTACAAAATTAACAAGAGACTGTCTTGAGCAGCACAGACAAATGAATTATTTTATCAGCAGTACATGTATTTATCGTTCACCTTTCTGTAACTATCATCAGAACATTTATTGTCAGCATGGCACTAATCTTTTTTGTGTATTGAATTTTTAGCCACCTATAGTTCCTGTTTGATATTTATTCGTTGCTTTCTCCCCACTAATAATTTACCTGGCCCACATGAGTCTAGCTGGCGAAAAGAGGAATCGTCTAGTGAAGATATATAAGGAGAATTATAACGAGGAGCGATAGGCACTCGGCTGTCAGAGCCTTGGTCGAAAACATTATAAGCCTGCCCCCTCCCTTCCTTCTCCTTTTCCACCGTCACCTAGCTAGACACCAAGTTCTATATTTAGCATTTGACACACTTCCCCACTTTGTTACAACAATGTTCTGAGAACTGAGAAATACGATGAAGAACGTTTGATTAAATAATGATGGAAAATTGTTATTGTGCTAACTTTGTCCAGCCTTGGCACAGTATCAGATTGTAGATTTAATCTGCATGGGACAGTGTCACTGGTACAGTATCAATTGACTTTTTGCCATCATACAGGACAGCTCTTATTACATATTTACAGGCTGAGTGCACGTCGATATCGTGTGTGGGTGAGTAGAAAGTAAAAGTCTTTCTTTGGTTAAAGTACTGGAGGCCATGACCAGCAGTTTTTTGTGCTTCTCACTTTCAGTTTATTTTCTAGCATCAGACTCTAGTAGTAGTGGGGGTTTTTTCTGTGCCGATCAAGTCAGTTTCTATTAATCTCAGTAACTTCCATCATACATTAATCATAATATTTTGTTTCTTGACACTACCATTTTCAGCTCTTTCACATTATAATAATGTTTATAGAGGTGTGTGTGAGTGGGGATGGCGAAAGTAGGGGTATAAGAGAGGAGAGAGAGAGAGAGAGAGAGTGAGTGAGAGAGAGAGTGTGTGTGTGTGTGTGTGTGTGT